CTCTCAGCTAACCAACCAAGGAAATATATGTGTATATACTAGCCCGTGCATATACGTATATCTAAAAATATTTCTATATGCAACCAGCTCTATCTATATTAAGCTAAAGACAAGTTCACATTGATGGCTCCAACTCCAATCCATTACCAAAGGGATAATTCTAGCCTCTTCCTCTTGTTTGTCTTCAACATCTCACTCCATGAGAAACTTGGCTCCCACCAACCACCATCCTTTACTTAATTGTTCAATTCCATTATACATGTAGAGTGGTTTCTGAATTGCTAACCTGGGAGGAAATACTTTCTCAACAACAGAAGAACGCTTATGTACAGTTCCTTTTTCCTTTATTTTTACATATGCCACTCATTTCAAAAGTGACTCAGATCAGCACTTTTTTCCTTCATCTTTTTTTAGTGAGGTTATTCCATACATTTGCAATAGGGTTTAGATTATTTTATCACAGTCTCCATCCTAGGATCCCATGATATCCTAATTGATTAAAAATTTTTTTTCATATATTCAGGTTCAATTTTTGTGCTATAAAGTTAGACTTGACAGAAGCATAGTGGTTTTTTGTTTTTGTTTTTTTTTTGCGGTACGCGGGCCTCTCACTGCTGTGGCCTCTCCCATTGCGAAGCACAGGCTCCGGACGCGCAGGCTCAGCGGCCATGGCTCACGGGCCCAGCCGCTCCGTGGCATGTGGGATCTTCCCGGACCGGGGCACGAACCCGCGTCCCCTGCATCGGCAGGCGGACTCCCAACCACTGCGCCACCAGGGAAGCCCAGCATAATGTTTTATATCTATCATTACAGTATTACATGGAATAGTCTCACTGCTCCAAAAAGTTCCCTTGGCTTCACCTATTCAGGTCTCCCTGACCTTGAACTTATGGTAACCATTAAACTGTTTGTAATCTTTTTACAGTTTATTTATAGTTTTTTATGTGTAGCTTTCCCTTTTAGAATGTGATATAAATGATATCATACAGTAGGTAGCCTTCTCAGACTGGCTTCTTTCACTTAGCAATATGCCTTTAAGATTCGTCTATGTCTTCGTGTCGCCTGATAGCTAATTTTTCTTTTTCTTTTTTTGCTGACTAGTACTCCAATTGTATGGATATACCACTGCTTGTTTATCCATTCACTGACTGAAAGACATTTTGGTTGCTTCCAATTCTTGAATATGAATAAAGTTGCTATGAACACTTGTGTGCAGGTTTTGGTTGTAGACGTATGTTTTCAAATCAGTTGGATAAATACCTAGGAGTGCAATTTGTGGTTTGCTAAAGACTATATTTAGCTTTGTAAGAAACTGCAAAATGGTCTTCCAAAATGGCTGTACCATTTTGTATTTCCACCAGCAATGAATGAGAGTCCCTATTGCTCTGCATCCTTGTCAACATTTTGCTACTGGCAGTTTTTAAATTTTAGCCATGCTAATAGGTGTGTAATAGTATCTTATTGTTTTAATTTTCATTTCTCTAATGAAAAATGATGTTGAGCATCTTTTCATTTGCCTATTTGATACCTATATGTCTTAACTGCAGTGTCTGTTCTTATCTTTTGCCCATTTTTTAATTGAGCTGTTTGTTTTCTTATTGTTGAGTATTAAGAGTTCTTTGTACATTTTAGATACAAGTCCTTGATCAAATATATGTCTGTGGCTTGTCTTTTCATTCCTTAACAGTGCAGAGCAGTCGATTATTAAGTCCAACTTACAATGTTTTTCTTTCATGGATGCTTTTGGTGTTGTGTCTAAAACCTTATCACCAAACTTAAGGCCATAAATATTTTCTCTATGTTTTCTTCTAGAAGTTTTATATTGTGGTTTGCATTTTACAGGTAGGTTTTTGATCAGTTTTGAGTTAATTTCTGTGAAAGGTGAGCCAGTGTTGTTGTTGTTTCTTTTCTCATAAGGTTCTCCTTAAAAGACTGCTTCAGAGAGGTATCTTGCTGGAGTTTTAGCATAAAAAAACAAACAAACGAACAAAAAAACCAGTAACAGCCAACAGCACCTCATAGCTTTTGAAGTTAATGTTTACAGACATCAATAATAGAGGTGTACAGTCAGAATGGCCATCATCAAAAAATCTAGAAACAATAAATGCTGGAGAGGGCGTGGAGAAAAGGGAACACTCTTGCACTGCTGGTGGGAATGTGAATTGGTTCAGCCACTATGGAGAACAGTATGGAGGTTCCTTAAAAAACTACAAAAAGAACTACCATATGACCCAGCAATCCCACTACTGGGCATATACCCTGAGAAAACCAAAATTCAAAAAGAGTCATGTACCAAAAGGTTCACTGCAGCTCTATTTACAATAGCCCGGAGATGGAAACAACCTAAGTGCCCATCGTCGGATGAATGGATAAAGAAGATGTGGCACATATATACAATGGGATATTACTCAGCCATAAAAAGAAACGAAATTGAACTATTTGTAATGAGGTGGCTAGACCTAGAGTCTGTCATACAGGGTGAAGTAAGTCAGAAAGAGAAAGACAAATACCGTATGCTAACACATATATGTGGAATTTAAGAAAAAATAATGTTATGAAGAACCTAGGGGTAAGACGGGAATAAAGACACAGACCTACTGGAGAACGGACTTGAGGATATGGGGAGGGGGAAGGGTGAGCTGTGATAGGGCGAGAGAGAGACATGGACATATATATATACTAACAAACGTAAGGTAGATAGCTAGTGGGAAGCAGCCGCATGGCACAGGGATATCGGCTCGGTGCTTTGTGACCGCCTGGAGGGGTGGGATAGGAAGGGTGGGAGGGAGGGAGACGCAAGAGGGAAGAGATATGGGAACATATGTATACGTATAACTGATTCACTTTGTTATAAAGCAGAAACTAACACACCATTATAAAGCAATTATACCCCAATAAAGACGTTAAAAAAAAATAATAATAGAGGTGTAATGTCTGGACCTAAGGGAGAAATTCTTCCTATAGCAATCTGCCATGGCCAGACCATATCTATGGTTTAGTATGCTTTGCTCTCGGTGGCAACTTGATTTAATAGTGAAATTGGTAAGCTGGAATTCATCTAGAGAGTGATTGGTATGATAAAGAGTCTGGGTACAACTGTTACAGCTGTTCTCATGATATGTCTATTTCCCTATCTCTTTTATTCCTAGACACTGAACAGCTTGTGGGCAGGACATATATATTTTTTCATCATACATGCCCAGAGTCTAGCACTTAGTATGTGTTACATAAGTATTTAATTAGTGAATTCAGTGAAGAAGTTAAGGATGTTTAATACAGAAAATAAGAATTCCTCAGACAATATATCCCTTTGAATAGCCACCATATCTTTTGGGAAGAGGACGTATGATAATTATCAACAAATATTTGAAGGGCTATCGTGCAGAAAAGGGATTAGAACCAAGACAGAATTCACAGAGGTACAGAATTTCAACTCATTATACATAAGAGGAGGCTGTCTTATGGTGAGCCTGCAATCGCTGAAAAAATTAAAAGAGCCTGACTGAATCTTTGTGAGGGATATCAGGAGAGGGGGCTTCTGCATTGAGAAGAAGAGTGAATGAACCGCTTTCTGTGTCTTTCAATGCTGAAGCTCTATGGGCTCTAACAGATCTAGCACACAGTCAAATTAAGAATTTCAAAAGCTCTAAGAACAGAAATACTTATGGGGTCCTATTCAAAATTAAAACCAAAAATTTGTAATTCAAAATTAAAAACAAAAATCTATATTATAAAGTATTCGCTAGGAATTCCAATAAAGTTCATGTGTTCCCATGATTAGGTGTCTTTTTTTTTTTTATACAGCAAGTATAAACTATTCCCCCTTAATTCTCCCTTTCTCTCTTTCATGCTGTTCCTTTGCAGGACCATACACATGTGATTATTTCTGCTTATTGCCCAGTACTGACTTTCTGATTCTAGGTAAAAGACAAGGAGTATGCCAAGATTTCTTTTGGAATCATCTGTAAAACTAAAAACAAACAAGCAAAAAACTACTCTGAAGAAACCCCAGGCAAAGGCAGGAAAGTCCATGGCCTTTTGATTTAAAATGTTCATCTATAATAACTATAGCAGCAATAAATCTGGAGACTGTCTAGTCCATAGTATAAAATGCAGTTATGCATTTCAAAAATAAGAGCCACCTACAACTGATATACAACGCTTGCCAGCTCTCAAACCACTAACATTCATAATGATGATCTAGGGATGGTGATGCTATTCAAGTACAGCCTTAATCAAAGATGAGATGACTTATATTCCATTTAGTTTTCAATTTTAAGTTTCTTCCCATTGGGCTAATTCTTTGAAAACTGATACACGTGCCAAAACACATGATTAAACAGAACATCTTAGGCCTTGATCATATATACGTGATAACAGAATTTAAGGCAAAAGCTAATTTGTTAATGACTATCAACTTACAAATGCTGTACTAACTTGTTGATTATATTTATCACGTGAATTTTTTTCATTGTAGCTAAGTAAGTTTCATACTTTCCTCTCACGGTATCTTAACTGTTGAACAAATTTACAGGTCACGCATTATTTCCCAAGAATTCTGTGAAAAACCAAATGTTGAACTAAGTGAATACTGATTTATTTATAACACTTCTGTATTCAGAAAACTAGTTCTTTGATTCAACAGGTCTTGACTGTTCCTTTAACTCCTATAAGAAACCTGTTAGAGCTTTCATGGAAAGGAAAGGACAGTGAACCGTTTCCTATAAGTAATGTGAGTCATTTTCTCCCCGATCCTACAGCTGCCACTGAGCTGATATGTTCTCATGATGAATTGACCTCCCCAAGTTACAATGGAAAAAGTACACTGAAATAACCTTGCCAGGCCTTGTTGTGAGGGTCAGTGCTTGCTTAAGAAAAATAAACTGCTCCCTGAGGCAATGATACTAGATTAAAGATTTGAAATAAACCCGTGGTGAACCATAATTATTTTTTTGAAGACTTATTTATAATTTTAAAAAGCAGATAAAAAAAATACTTACTGGAACATCAACATATTTTGCGGCTGCTTTCACCTTAAGTGGAAAAGAGATAATTATGAGAATTATTTTCTTAACTGTTTGATAAGTGCTGTGACAGCAGTCAAAAGACAGCAGAGGAGAACTCATTCAAAATACTCACAGTGAATGACAGAATGGATGAAAAGAAAGTGCCTTCGTCATATCTTGACAGCTTAGACAACACCCCTTCCAACACTGAAACAAACTAGAATACAGTTTATAGTGAGTATTTAGGATAGTACTGTGCATACAAACAAATAACGGGGCAAACGATTCTTGGACCAACTTCTCCCGCGGCACAAAAATCTGAAATGTATAAACTGACACATTGACAAAATCTCATTTTGAAGATGAACTCTAAGGTCCTTTTACATTGCTGGAAAAAATACGCACATTTTTTAAGATAAAAGAACAATGTGTAATAGGAGTCTGGTTACTACGTGTGAGATAACTTAAACCATTAGTAAAAAACTTTAAATCCCTGTGACTCTTCCTTAATATAATTTTCAACTCCAACATAGATGTTTATAAGTCCTCATCACAAGAAAAAATGTTGTAACTAAGTATGGGGATGGACTTATTTTGGTGATCATTTTGCGATTTATACAGATATCAAATCACTATGTTGTATACCTGCAACTGACATAATGTATGTCGATGACACCTCAATAAAAAAAAATAGAGAGATGTTTCGAGGCAACGATGGTCAAGCTTTATCAAATTCCTTTCTATCATATATCACTCGACCATTCCCCAACTTTTTCTATCTACAGAAGAGGTTGAATGACAAAGAACAGATAATGAAAAGGTGTAACATTTGGGGCCCTTGTAACATTGAAATGAAGTATGATACATCAGCTAACGAGTATTCACCAAGCAGTTCCAATTGGGACATGTAAGGATCATCCCTGCTTTCAGAAGCTTACAGAGTAGTTGGGAAGCTCAAACAGATACACACACTGCAGAGTACAATGAAAAGAGCACCAGACTGAGAATATAAACCCTGATTCTGTCATTGACTGACTGCTCTGTGGGCTCCAGCCAACCAGTGCACCGGTTCCCCCATCAGTCAAAGGTGTGTTTGTGTTGGTGGGACGGGTATGGAATTTAAATTGTCTTAAGAGTTTTATATTTCTAAAATTTTATACTTCTATGAAATGAGAGTTAAGACATATATACTTTAATGTAATTAAAAATGTGGAGAATTTTATTTCATTGAGCAGAAACAGTAAGATCTGGCATGAAGATAAATAAGAGATATTAATAAGGATCTACTGCCCTACATCTTTCCTCTTTAGAAGCAAAATAATATGCACTATTGACAAGTTATACCTTCCCAAAAGAGAAAATACTGACAAGGTTTTTTAAATACAAAAAGGGAAATTAATGAAGGCTGGTTTTTGTTCACATAGCAGCTTCTTAAACAAAGGGATAATAGTTCTAGGGACACAGCTTATTGGTCTCTGGTGAGCAGAGAACTCGCTGAGAGTGCACAGGAAATAATCTTTTCTCTATGGCTGGTCAATTACTGCAAAATAGTTTATGCAAAAGAAACAAAAACTTCCCTCCAGGTTTCTCCATCACATCATTTGCGACATGATGTAAGAACACAGAAATAAATTGATGTGAACTGCTGACTAAAATTTTATTTTTATTTTTATTTAAAAAATTTTTTTCTCAACCCTGAAATTTTATTTTTAAAGAATGAGAACTATGTATGGTTGGTTAGTTATCCTAGGGGATACAAATAGCAAAATACATAAAATTACAAATTGTTCACAACTAAAAGTCAGTTTAGCACTTTCCTCCTGCCCTTTAAGATTTCTTACCAATCACAGCTGGCTAACTCAACTTGTTGTGGTTGACAAAGACCAAGAAGACCTATACTCCAGGGCTATGACCAGGGGAAGGACCTATACTCCAGGGCTATGACCAGGGGAAGGACCTATACTCCAGGGCTATGACCAGGGGAAGGACCTATACTCCAGGGCTATGACCAGGGGAAGGGAATGCCAAACTTAATGGCCCTCTGCGGAAAATGCCTCATCTCTTGTAACTCAAATCTTGAAAGCCAGTGTGTGATGGCGGTATCATTTGCCACGAGGAGAGCGACAACTGCTATGGTTACCAGACAACGTGAACCACTGAAGGCTCTGGCATAGCACCTGGTTCTTGGAGGCTTCAAGCAGGTATTTGTTTACACAGGTGAGTGATGCTGAGGGACTAGGCAAAGTAGAGGCAGACCCTGTGGATGGATTTAGAAGATCTTAGCTCGAGTTGAAGCTCTGCCACTCTCTGGCGGTGAGACAACAGTCTGGACATTCAGCTTCTCTAGCCTCAGTGTACTCATCAGTAAAATGGGGGAAATGTCACTGCTTTGCTCACAATAAGGATGGTGTGAAAATCAGCAGAGATGACTTAGGTGAAGGGACTGTGAAAATGGCAACACACTAAGAGATGTAAAAAATGAATATTATTGGTATGATGAGCTAAATCACTAGCCATTACATGTCTAAAAACCTACACATGTTAAGTCACAAGTTAACGGGGGTAGCCTTGGGATTGTTCAGTGATAAGGAGAAATAATTCATTTGGTTACCAGCGAATGCGTCTAATTCAGTGACATGATGTCTATGGAGGCAGGATAGAGTTGATGCTGTCAGTCAGAAGACCCATGTCGGAATCCCATCTGTTTCAAGGTCATGTGGCTGACAGTAGAGGAGGGAGGCTTTGGACACAGGTGGTCTGGCTCCAGAGCCCGTGTTCTTTGCCATCACACTACAGAGTTGTAAGCATTAAATGATATGACATAACTAATGTGCCTGGCATATAACAAGTGCTCAATAAATGCTATTTTATTCTCCTTATTGAGCACCTAATAGGAAAAAAAAAAAAAAAAAAAAAAAAATGAGTCTTAGACCCTTCCCTCCAGGAATGCACAAACTAGTAGGAGAGACAGATGTGTACACAGTTGGTCATGACACAAGGCAGGAAGTGATGACAGACAAACAGTGTAACTGAAACTGACTTCCATTGGAGGATACTGGGTAAGCTTCGTTTGCATGGTGGCACAGGGGCTGAGCAGCAGGGTAGCAGAAATCGAGTGGCTAAAACAACACTTGGGGAAGCCCATTAACAGATGACCTTAGGGCAGAAGTTGCCCCACTGTGGCATCTGACAGCCTGTCTGGCTCGTCTTCTCGTTAGAGTGTGAAGCAGCACCAGGTTATATCCCACTAAGTCCAGTGTGTGCACCGGTGGCCTGCTGCGTGCATGTCACAGCAGTCTTGGCCTCCATTTTTTTTTTTTTTTTTTTTTTTTTTTTGCGGTACGCGGGCCTCTCACTGTTGTGGCCTCTCCCGTTGCGGAGCACAGGCTCCGGACGCGGAGGCCCAGCGGCCATGGCTCACGGGCCCAGCCGCTCGGCGGCACGTGGGATCCTCCCGGACCGGGGCACGAACCCGCGTCCCCTGCATCGGCAGGCGGACTCTCAACCACTGCGCCACCTGGGAAGCCCCTTGGCTTCCATTTTAACAATAGTGCAGAGCCTCTCCCTGGGACCCTCCCTACCCCAAATGGTCCCTGGGGAGGCCCAATACAGCAGGGACTCTAAGTGCTTACATGGCAGTGAACAGTGACTGCACCTCTGGGACCAACCACGTGAGCCATACAGTTCCAACAGGAAGGTTTTCTTTGTAAGATTTCTGTCAAGGCACACGTGGTGGAAGAGCTACCTTAAAACCCAAAATCTGTTAACAAGATGGACTAATAATGATGTAGCTTCCATCTGGCTTTTAATTGTAGAAGACAGCAAGATTCCAAAGAAATCCAGCTAAACGCTGGGTTTAGTTGCTGTGTCTTTAACTGTTTCCTGTGAACTTTCTCTGTACAGCTCAGGGAGGATATAAATACTTACAGGTTTGCCTTGCGCTCTCTGTTCTCCTGAGGATGTCAGGTTGGAATGAAACCCTGTAATCTCTGTTTCCCTGCTTTTTATTGCGGATGTCATTTACTGGGTTTGTTTGAATAATATTTAGCGCCCAAAGTCTGTCTGGGTCATTACCAACTTTGCCTCATTATGTACGCTCTCAGGGAAATTAAAGATGAAGGTACGTTGAAAGGACTGGTAGAAGGAGACATGAAGTATGCCACAAGCCATGTTGGTTTAAATTTCCTGCTGGATTTTAACTGGGTATAGGATTCATTTTCCTACACGTATGGAAAGTAGAATGACAAATTCTGAGAAGTGATAGGAACGATTCAGCTGTAGATTGGTGGGTTCAAAACACGCGGTTCTTACTTTTTTCAACTGTGCAATTTCAGGAAGTGAACAAGGAATATTTGCATCATTTACACTGCAAGTTATTAAATCTTCCACAGAAAAAAGATGCATCCATAAACAAGACTAATCATGAAAAACTAGGTGTATTTTGGAGGGGGGGGAGGTTAAATAGGGCTGGAGATATCTATCAGATGTTTTATTTTTGTTTGGTACAATCAGGACTGACTAGTACTGTTAAAAATCCACCTGGAACCAGAATGTCATGGATTGGAAGAAAGCGGGTTTCCTTCCCTGAACTGGAATGTTAATGTTATGATACAATGGAATATAATTCTCGCTTCTCCCACTGTGTATCCACGTCCTCTTTGAACCTTGGTTCCAAATGACTCCGAAAAGGTCCTTCCAGATTATCCAGATCGGTACTGAGGATGGACAGGATCTGACAGCACGTATTTATACAACATGCCTTGTTCTGCACCGTATCTCAGACAACTTCCAAAACAGCACGCCTAGCCCGGATGTTGGTGAAGTCTCCACATTCCTCTCATTGTTCCTTTCTCCCTTGTCTCCCAAATAGACTGAACTATGTTGGTTTGTATTTTTTTTCTTCTAATGACTCCTAACAGTGCATGTTATTCCTTTCAAGCACATTCTTGGGTTTGAACAGTTGTCTTCTGAATACATCGCCTTGATCCAAACAAGTAAATTTAACCAAGTTAACTTAATCAGACTGAATTGGTGGTGGTGGAGGAGATACTTTAATTGCATCATCTAGACAGTCAGGTCAGATTTGTCCTCTGTCCCTCTTAAGAGAAATGCAGGGGAAAATATTCTAGGTTATTAAAAAGAATAGGTGTTGTGTGTCTGTACAGGTATTTACACCTACATACCTATATATCTATATATGTACTTAGTGAAAAAGTA